GCTCGCCATGTAGGTGAAAGGAGAGGGAATTGCTCAAGATATTTGTCATGCTGGGAGCAGGGGAAAAAGTGGGTCAAGGAAACTGCAGCAAAAGCAGACAGCTGCCTCTGACTGCCCCTGCACAGAGAGAGTTGCTCTCCTTTTACCTGAGCTGATATGTTACTTTTCTGAGAATTTGCAGGAATTAGGGGACAGGGCTACCTGTGATGACTTCCTTTTGCTCTCAAGTTATTGTTGAATAATTCATGTCTTTCCCTTATCCCTCTGAAGATTGTTTCAATACGGCAGAGATCCCAGTCATTGCTAGGGGACTTCGCGGCGGGAGTTGGAATGGAATGCATGAAGTTTATGGAGGAAGGCTAGAACTTAATCTCTTCTTTTCACTTGCAGGTTGGGATCAGTCAGATAAGTTTATTAAGATTTACATCTCTTTAAATGGAGTCCAGAAGCTTCCAGCTGAGAACGTCCAGGTGAATTTCACAGAGAGGTGAGTTCGTGTTGTTGTGCTACGCCACAGGGGGGAGCATGGGTGAAGAACACTATTTGAAATGCAGGAATGTGTTGTGTTGAGTTCTGTTCTGGATCAGCTCTTACCTCCCCACCCCCACCTTTTTTCTTTTTTTTTAAACTTGAGCGGTATTAGCTTTTAGTAGCACTTAGCACATGCCCGTAAGTATGGCTCTCCTGAGAGGGTATCAGGGTATTTTCATTTTACAAATGCTTGTTGCACCTCATCGCGCTTGACAGGATATGTAGTGTTAGCCCTGTTTTTTGATGGTGGTAGAACTGAAGCGTACATTAAGTAAATCTGCCTTTCCAAGGCTGTAGGAGATCAGTGAGGTAGAAAAAACCCTAGAGATCTTGATTTGTTGTGAAGTCTGGACAGGTCCTTTTAAGTTCTCAGTATTAAATCCAGCTGAAGATTTGAGAGGCCTGGGAAGAAAGTAATTCAAGCCTGTTGACATGCTTTCCAAAGAAATATGTCTGCTAAAGGGCTTTCAGACGTTGTTTTTGGTGGCAAGGTACAATAGTCTTACAATGATTGGAATCTTAGTGCCCTTCTTCCCCCACTTTCTGGTTCCAGGTCATTCGATCTGCTAGTGAAGAATCTGAATGGGAAGAACTACACCATGACCTTCAACAACCTCCTGAAACCCATCTCTGTGGAAGGCAGCTCTAGAAAGGTCAGTCTAACCTCGGCTGTTAGAGATATTTAGGTCCCTCACAAAGTGCCATGTTCATTGCCTGACTCTAGTTCAAGAGACCCAGTGCTAACCTTCAGTCCCTCCCTTCTGTCTGCAAAGTCTCTTCACTGTGAACGTGATTCTTATTAACCTGTAACTGTCATAACTGTGGAATTATTCTCTGGAATCCATGGGCTCCTATTTTAAAAGATCATGTCTGGGTATTGTATGCTTTTTTTAATAGTTCTCTGACAGGATTTCAGAAATAATAAAGCAGAAAATTCCACTAAGCATCCATTTGCATCCTTGTGCTTTTAAATACCTCTGAGAAATTCTTTGCGATTTTAAGGTCCAAGAGACTTGTCAGCAGACCGAAATCTTGGGAAGCTTAAATAGGCTTAATACCCAAAGCAAAGTCTGAAACCTGCTCTGCCTTTGTAATGGGCTCCAGAATTGAACACTAGTAACATTTTACTGCAACTGGTGACAGTGTCCTTACTGTGCTACTTGTAGCACCTTTCCGGGCTTAGGATGTGTCAAATACTTTGTGTGTGTTCTGTGCAGCTGTGCGCTGCACTTAGTGACATCAGATGTGAAGAAATGATGGTTCAATTTGAAATTCCCCTAAAATAAAAACAACTGAAATAAATGAGGGTGGTGCTGTGGTGATTTTTAACATGTAAAAGTGAGCAGCGGTCACGTACTTGCTAAGCTAAAGCTCCAGCAGATTCGTCTGCTATGGCATGCAGGAGTTCTTTGTGAAATTTAGGTCAGGGTTGCAATTAAACAGGCTTTGCTTGTAACTTGCAAACATATTGCAAGATTAAGCAATAAAACTAGTTTCTTATCCTTGGAGAAATGAATTGGGAGAGCCTCTGCCTGAACTTTGGTATTCCTGGAGAAGTTTAGTACATATAGCCACCCTTTACCAGGCAGTCCTGGGTATTTTTAGCATCCTGAGAATCACCGAATGGTGTTTCTGCGGCACTGTATGTTCTTCTGTATTGGTACTATAGTACCGTACTAGTATTATATTAATCCCGCCATTTAAATTGTCCACAACGAGGTTAATACTTTGTATGCCAAAGCTGAGTGCGTACTATAATTTCTATATGCTACATAATAATCAATAGCTGAGATAAATGTTTCAGGATTTTGCGAGTATAGAAAGAGGTTTATGTTATAAGCTAACCTTACTCATTGTGGTTGTGACTAGCATCCCTTTATGAAGCATTCTAAATTCATGCCTTGCTATTCACCATACAGATAAAGACAGACACGGTCCTTGTGATGTGTAGGAAGAAGCGGGAGGAAAAATGGGAATGTCTCACTCAAGTGGAAAAAGAAAGCAAAGAGAAAGAGTAAGTGTCTCTTCAACCCTCCATCTTGTTTTCCATTTCTTGTTCTCCAGATTGCTTTAGGACTGCCAGGAGAGCAGACCTGTACTGTACTGACTGTGCCTGGGACACAAGCCCCTAAGATGTTTCAGAATTATTAGGTTGGGATTTTTTTTGGTACTAGTAGGACTGGCAGTGGAGGAGATGCACCTTGAATAGCTGTTTGCCACTCTTCTACTGTTTCATTGCTAATGATGAAGGCTGCATCGTAGGAAATAGGTAAGACCTGCAGTGAGAGTGCTAAAGGTAATCAACCAATTAAAGATTCATTTGTATTTTGATGGCTGCATTCATTGCAAAAACTGCTCTAGTGAGGGTGACTTTTTTTAGGTTAAGTGTATATCATATAGAAATACATATATATTCCCTGCAGCTATGCTATTTGAAGTAATTACTACTATTTTGTCACCTGTGTATGAAGTGCCTGCACAAAAATCCCAGTGTCCTTTTGGCAAAACAGATCTTTGTTTACCTAGATCATTATACAAAGTCTCAAGCTAATTTGTATCACTTCAGGTGCTTGGGAGCAATCCTACAAGCAGCTTAGGCACTGGATATATAAGGGTGGTAAATTATAGCAGGAAACACCTGGGGACAAGAGACTTTTTTTACACACACACACACACACACACACACATATATATATAAAAAATGTAGTTCATTATAGAATAATTTTGTATTATTTCACAACACACACACATGTTCTTATCCAGAAGAGAACGTGTATACCCACCATGAAGCATGGAGACACTCACTTTTGAGAAAGTTATGCCTGCCAACAACTATTCATTTTGTGTATGATGATAGGATGAGTTGCCAAAAGTGATTAGTGCTCACCAACCATACCTGAATTGAGAGCCAAAGTACCTTCCTCTCTCAAATGGCATCGCTGGAGATTAAGAGAAGGTGACTTGACTACTAATGCACATTGCTGGAGGGACAGGGTCATTTTGTTAAACCTGGGTCTTGTGCAGAGAAGTCACATTAGTATTGCCGCCTCATTCCAAGTGTGGAGCATTTACAGTATGACAAATGAGTCGCTTCAGAAATACACCCCGAGACCGATGGTTAGCCCCGTGCTTGGGGAACGTGCTCCCTCTGCTGATCTATTTTGATCTGCATGTTTTTCAGGTAGCCTGCAGAAACCAGTAACTACCTAAGGAATTTCAGAAAACAGGATAGAGAGAGGCAGTTTAGCCAGAGAGGGCATTATGTATAGTCTGGTAACATGGGGCGTGTCGTATCTTGGTGCTTACCATGTGGGTGGCACTGTTTGTCACCTGGCTTCTCAAGTTAAGAAAATTGCTTTGAAATGCAAGGTGTTAAAAAGCGAGTCAATTAACCTCTGGAGATAATCTAAAAAAATGGGAAGCAGAAAATGCTTTTGGGTTGTGAATGTGGTCACTTCAAAGAGCTCAGTGGCCATTTTTCTATTTTTATTCACTTTTCACATAACGGCACAGACAGATGTTGGCACTTTCTGGGTCTGTGATATTCCACTCCTGCTTCCTAAAATTAATTTTGGGTGGTGCTTACTGCAAAATGCTTCCTGTCATCCTTAGTGGGACAGCTCTGGCTATACTACTCAACTTGCGCTTAGTTGAAGTGTACTCCTTAGGATTCTCCCTACTCGGAAGCTGACTGAGGCGTGACTGAAGACTGCTAGGGTCTATAGACTTTGCCAAAGCAGAATCCTCATCGTTACCAGGATGTTTCAAACAAGTATTAGCGTTTAATTTTTTGCACAGAATTGTTGGATATACATGATCTTCTCATATGTATCCGTCTTGCAGGAAGGCTGCCTACGACACCTCAGATCCTAGTGAAGGGCTGATGAACCTTTTAAAAAAGATGTATGCAGAAGGGGATGATGAAATGAAGCGCACCATCAACAAGGCCTGGGTTGAAAGCAGAGAAAAGCAATCCAAAGGGGACATACCAATGGATATTTGAAAGTACTCTAAGGGCCGCCTTAATACTGATCTTCCATGTGAGACATGCTGTGCTGCAAAGATCATTGTTTACACAACCTTCTTCCAAGCAAAGACAGTCATTTGCCATTTCAGGTTGGAGAAAATATTTAAATAAAATAGCTTATAAAGCATTTCTTTCAGTCAAGTGGTTCACCATTCCCTGAAGAGTGGAGCATAGGTATATCCTCAGCCCTCCTTGAAAAAACATCTCAGATGAGTGGAGTGTTGTGAAACTGAGAACAGAATGTAAAAGAAAAGGAATCCTAAAGTAGGATGGGTCAAGGCCTCCCTGTTCCAAGTGACAGCTGTACCCATCTGGGTGCTGGGGCTAATGTCATGCTTGCTACATGGGCTGTGTTTTTTTGACTAGATGTGGGAAAATACGTTGAACTGTAAAGTATGTCACGAAGGGAGAAATGCTGAAGCAATATGGTGTTAATCCTGTGGTATTAAAATTTAATGATTAATCTCAGAAATTAATTACCGGCTGTTTAACCAGTTTAATTTTGAAAATGAAAGCAGCTCTTTAGCGCCTATGCTAACTGTGACCCTCCTTGGGGTCTTTGAGGCGGCACCAGTCGCAGGAGGGCAGTGAGCGCGCCCTGGCTCTAGCAGTATGTGAGGAAAAGAGAGACAAGCTCCACTTTCTCCTATCAACTTTCAAGGGTTTTAAGGTAACAGTAAGAAGTATATTGAGATAGCTTATACTCCAAACTTTGACTCAACTGGGGGTGATGGGTTGCTGTCAGTTTGCTGCCTGTGTGCCTTCCATCTGGCGGTAGTTCCCTTTGACCCGGCCTGTTCAGTGCAGCCTCTCAGCCCCACTGCGAGGGAGGGGGACAGAGCAGCCACCCCCCACTTTATTGCCCTGCTTTGAAGAAGAGTACAGGGCAAAACATGAGCTTAGCAGCAGGCTTGTTGCTGTTGTTGTTTCCCTCCTGCTTCCTTCTCGTGTCTCTCCCAAGGACGGATTTGTTTGATGTTACCTAAGAATTAAGGAAGCCGTTACTCTCCTATTATGGTCTGGACTAGGACTTACTTGCTCCTGTGTTCTTAAAGCATTGGACCAACGCTGCACTATAAGCAGGAGAGAAATACTAGCACGTTGTACTTTCTAATAGGTCCTTTATCCACTTTGTCTGCTTGTTAATATACATATATTAAGTTTGCATAGCAAGAGTATCTAAACTTGAGGCCATGTTTTATTTTCAGTTCGTGCTCATCCTTGTTCATGGCAGAATACTACTTTGCCCTGTTGTACAATTTCATTTATGCTTTTACCCAAATTACCGTGGTGAACTTACCGTATGGTGGCAAAAAAACTGCTTAAACGAGCCTTGTGCTGTATGTCTTTATTTCTGACAAACTTCAGCTTAGTTCTGCAACAATCAGGTTGCGATTTTCTTTTTTTTCTTCCCACCCGTCAAAATAAAACTACCTCTCATACAGACCAGCTTAGTGCAGTTATGCTCCTTCCTGTCAGTTAGCTGATACCAGTCACAATCCAGTGAGATTTTAATGAATGAGCATGGCTTCTCATCCTTCCCTTATTAGTTTGATATTGATGCTGGACTCTTAGACAGGACAGCCTTGCTTTAATTACTCAAACACAAGCTGAGCCTGTTTTGTGTCTTCTGCCTGAATGTATATCCATGCAGTGATCTACCACATAGCCCTCTGTATCCCAGACATCTGAGCATGGTCAGCAAAATGACGGAAAACGATTCTGCTGAGCCTCCAACGCCGTTTCACCCCCCGAGGGCGGGATGTCAGGACACACCTATTTCGGATCCTCACAGGGCAGCTGTCCCGGGGCAAGTCAGCAATCTCTTTATCAGCCACTTCCTAAAACAGAAGACCACAGCACAGAGTTTATCTGTGTTCCCCAGGATTTTGAGCGGGCTTATTGCCAGACCTGAAAATCTAGCTGTAGAGTAGGTACCACCACATGCTTCCCTACCGCCTCATGAGTATGCTTTGCTATTTGATAGGGAACTTGCGCCTGTCTTCCTCACCTGACCCTTTCTTTCTGGGCATCCTAACAGTGGATGTAAAATGACCCACATGGAGACCCCAAAGTTAACCTTATTACACAGACTGAACAACCTCATGCCAGTAATTATCATTAGTCAAAATCGGCTTGGCTTTATCCATGTTGCAGGATGAGCTAGTCCTTTAAGATGAACTGAACTTAAATGTATGTTCCTTATTAACTGCCTTCCCAGGTAATACGCTTTGATGTCAGTAAAAGGAATCTACTTCAGAAGGAGCTACAGGCAGAGGAGGACAAGTCAAAGTGTCTCTGTTCTAATGAGAAGGCTTAAGAAAGGTCTTTCAACATACAACAAGAGAGCTCAACAGTTTTCAGGAAGCACCAGGTAGCAGCAAGTGGAATTTCAGAAGAACAAGTGAGCTCAGCAGGGAAATGCAGCCTAAAGGAAGTCGCTTGAGGCTAGATAAGCGTCCCTAACTGCCGCATTCTTAATATATTATTTTCTAAAGGACAGAAGGGCTCGGAAGAATCCTGTGTTCAGTCATGGTAGGAAGTCACAGTTGGAGGTAAAAGGAAGGTCTGAGACTGGACTACAGAAACTCCCATTATGTTGCAGGAGTGCTGAACAGCACTAGTTTAAGGCTATCTTCTAAAGGGATGTTCACCTTCAAAGGAAGACGGCATCAAGACAGCAGCAATGTGACTTTCAACTTCGGTAACAGCAAAGTCAGTAGGACTTCTCGTCTTCAGAACACATTTCGGTTACTGGTTTTGTCCAGTTGTGCATCTTGCTTGCATATATAGCTGTATATATACACTCTATCTAGTACAGCTAAACACTTGCAGTATTTTTTTGGCCTATTTAATTCCTATGATATTATTCAGAAAGCAGCCTATACTTTCAGAGAAGACTTGTAGCTTAATTTTTAAGACTTTAATTTTGGAGCCCAAATAACGTTTTGTAGGGAAGGAAAGCTACTTTCCTGAAGTCTTTTTCTTTTATCTAACTGCCGCTATGACTTTGTGACTTCAAAAGGTGACAAAAGTAGCTGAGGAGTACCAAAAGTAAAGTCAGTTGCAATTCATTTCCCCCCACTGCAAGGGCATCCAACGCAGACTAGACTTGCCAAGAGAACGGTAAAGTCAATACATAAAACCAGATTCATACACTTTCTCTCCCAGAATGTTTAAGGATGAAAGCATCTCCCCACAGCTGGCATGGCCAGATGGAATACATACAGGAATATTGTAAGAGTATTTCTGATACTTGCAAATGTTTTTTAATACTTAGTAAGGAAGGCTGAGAGCAGGGCAGTGAATATGTGCATTTTTAAGAGCAGATCTAACACCCAGATCTGATGCAACTTCTACATGCTTGTAGCTCAGGCAAGGAGTAAAATTAAGTATTTCTAATTGAGCAAATTGGTGGTTTTGGCTGGATCAGGCTTCTGAGTTTTTAAATAAGCAAAAAAAATCTAAAGTTTATTTAGGAAACTATAAAAGTAACCATATAATATCCCATATTATCAGAAATAAGGAAAATAGCTTTCTGAATGTATGTTAGTGACAGCTGTGAGGAGAAAAAAAAGAGACTTCACTGTACATAGTGTTACATATACTGCTTGCATGAGAAGCACTAGTTTTAAAAAAACCACACAACCCAACACACACAACCTCTAGTCAGGAGAATACACCGTTGTTGTAAACACCCCCGAAAGGCAGAGGCTCTGAGGTTGCCTGGGCGCTAGCGGTAACTATGCAATATGACATGACTCCGTGCTTGTGAGTTAGGGCAACACAAGCGTTCGTGACCTAGCACGGCTGCTCGGGTCTGTCAAGCGGCCGCTGCGGCCCAGCACACGTCACAGCAGTGGGAGCCACGCGTGGGCTCGTGCCCTGCCCTGGCCGGGGTGCAGTGGCTGCCCGGTACCTGCAGCTCCTTGGGAAGGATGGTGTTCTTCCGGATGGCGTTGATCCGCAGCCTCTCATCCGCGTACTCGTACGCCAGTTTCCTTCTCTTGACATCCCGCAGCATCCTCCAGTCCACGTAGTAGCTCCGCACTTGCCTTGTGCACGGTGAGGGGAGAACCTAGTTAAAAAAATTGAGTTTATAATACCCACCCGTTGCACGTACAGTCTGCCCAATTCAAGTATGAGTTATT